AAGACTCGTCGTTACTAATGAAATGCCTTTCTCTTTTTCATTGAATTGAATGTTAATATCGATTCCATTTCTTTTACGGTGTTTACTAGGAAAGTTTGTTGAAGATTTGAATGTGGGAAATAAGTTGACACCAAATCGAATCTGTTACATCAATTGCGCGTGCGCGAACTGGACAATATTCAGTAGAATGGCAAAACGACTGAACATTTCACTACAACATCTATGAACAAAAGAAATTTAATCCTGTCTGCTGAACATTTTTGACTGCCTTCAAAATCGATTGAACAACATTAAACATCGCTGAACAAGACGACGCAAAACTTACGCTGGACAAATGTCCAGTCGTTTTGCCGTGGCTTAAGTGAGCATTGTTGACGATAGGCAACGAAAATCCTTTGCAGAACGAAACAATTTCTTGTCACAAAAGCAGGTACAGTGGCAAGAGTAAGCTGATTTTGATAAGCGGTTGAGTCCATATTTGTAAACATTGCAAATACAGCTATATTAAAACAAAATTAAAAGTTTTGTGAAGGTTTGTCTTGACGAGGTGTAAACGACTGACTCATTGACTATCACTTTAGCTTTTTAGAGCCTAACACAGAAATTTATCTTTAGAAAATATAGATATGATTGAATTAAAAGATCAAACAAAGTGGATTAACTCCACTATTAGCATTTTTCATTTGAAATTGTTCTGTTACGGGAAAGATAGTAATTTTACTGCCATGATTGGCGCTGTAAGGTGAGGCTGAAAGCAGCTGCACAAGAAAAAGATGGGAAGATTGACAGCAATATGGCATGTTTAGAGTCAGAAACTTCAGCTTCTACTGCACTTGATTGAAATAATAGTACAAGCAATCGCTCACATGCTAAATGCTTGCTGTGATAAATTTGTAACAGTTTTATAGGTTTGAAACAACACAAAAGCAGCTGCCATGTCATCACTATGCGAGATAACTTCATCTCTAGTAAATCTCAACGCGAGTACAACGCAACGTAAGCAAAAAAGGAAAAGTGACGAAACCCAATTGTTTTGCCAGAGTTTCGAAAAAGCTTGCAATGTGTAATGCATTTTTTTGCTCTGAATATCTGCCTTCCAAAAAGTATCATAGTTGATAGGAGGTATTGAAAATCTCTTTGTCATAAAAAAAATTTGAGTAGTTTTTCTGTGATATGCACATGACTCTAGAACCCTCATAATAAATATTCAAAAGCGGCTCCAAACAAACAATTTCTCCAACAAACAGAAGCATTAAGAGATTGAATAAGGGTGATTTTATTCATAATATAACACTTATATTATCTACATTGACTGTACAATTTTGGCTGTTAAGAAATAAAAAAAGTATGAAAAATATGGATATGCAGATTACAAAGACGTCTAAGTGTAGGCTTTAGAACAAGTAGATTTCCTATCAAAATAACAGGCAAATTAAATGATAAAAGTGTTACGCTCAGGTAGTGATAAAAAATGATGTAAGCTAATGTTGTTTGGATACTTTATCTTTGTCATTTTCATCACCATCCTGTGGTTTATGGAAATATTCATCACGTATTTCTGATATCGCTTGCTGAATGAGACACAAAGAGTAGCCAGGCTTATCTGTCATCCAATGACGACAATTCCATATCGAATACTGGAGCTTCTGAAACTCAACGTGAAAAGCAGATTACAAAAGTCCTTATCAGCATGAAATCTTTGTAAAAATCTTAATCGATCATTTTGCCACCAAAATATATCCATCACTTAAGAATATCAACCGTTAATGTTTTTTGCAGATGGCATGCAATTCGAGAAGATGTTACGAAAGAAGATTTTTGGAGCCCATTCTCAATCACTACCCATGTACATTAATCCTCTCGGAGTGGACGTGTATCTATCAATGCAGCTTTTAAGAATGGACGAAATCGTAAGTGAATACACTATTTCATGAAATGACAAGGAAAAAATAATTAAAGAAACAATAATAGAAATTCAAGGACTTTAACTTTTTAGATGTAAGACATTTTATCCTCACAAAATTTTTTATTGCAGCTGTATCTTTAAATGGTCGTCCAGAGTGACTCGGAAAACATCAAGCCCAAAAAGCCTTCAATAGAACAATAATGTTTTTACAAGACTTGAAGAACAGGTTTCCTTCACCTGTGTCTTCGTGTTTTTACTAGAAATGTGATATGGTAGTTCTTGGTACATTCTGTCAACGCGGATGATAGCTTTTTGTATGCTTGATTACCCCCTGGAAGTAATAACTTCAACTGTAACTCGCCTGTACTTGTGTAATAACTTCAACTGTAAAGTCTCCTGTACTTGTGATAAACATTGCTTATCCACAAATTTGACAGCGTCATCAAATTAATTGTGATTACATTTGCAAACTATTGTTTGGTTAAAAAATCAAAATGAAGGAATATTGCCTAGAAGCTGGACGAGATCAACACGAAAGCTCATGTTCTGGTGATTCTATTACATTATACTAGTATGTTGATGATATTTTCATCGGCAACATACAAAGATTAGAATCTTGACAAGGAGGATAGCAAACCATTTTGCAAATTGAGGTTTTTCTATACAGCTTGCTGTGTTCCAGCACAAAGGGAATAAAGACGAGAAAAGTAATTGAAAGAAAACAGACAAAGCAACTTTTAAGGCAACCATTTTTAGACCTCAAACTATAACCATTGTTTATCTAAATGTTTAAGACTAACGTGGGCACCACAAGTAAAGCTTCTATTGCAGAAATCTTTTAAGTCAAGTATACACATGCCATTAAAATGCTTCGACCAGCTTTTCAATGCAAATGGAAGGCAGATGCTCTAACTCGTCATCTGTTTGCAGAAACTTTGTCTGTCATGATAATCAAAAGCTTTGGCGCAAACTTTCAAAAGCGGTTTCGTCTTGAATTTTTCTCGAGTAGAGTGATCAACCATAGAATCCGCATTCAAAAGCCAGATCGGATTGGAATGAATGCAATGTTTTCTTATGCACATAAATAAGATTTACCCAATATTAATCTTTAAATCTGTTATCGTATTGATTTTCTTCCATCACCTGCAAATAGAGAAAAACATTTTGTACAGTCGAAATTATGTATTTTGCAAAATGTGTTTGCATAGTTAAGCAAACTTAAACTATTTGATTACAGGAAGACGTAATGATGCGAATGTTTTCTAGTAATCTTAAGCAAAAGATTGAGTCGTATTCAGATTAACTGAACATGCATGGAAATAATGACAATGTTCAATTTGAGGCGAATCTATGATATACTTGTGATGAAAAGGGTCTAGAATGATCCGAACTTGACTTTGTATTAGTTCTTTGTTCCACTGGTAGCATAATTTGAACCATCTTTGCTCTGACATTTCATATATGCTAAAATGTTGCTTTCCACAGTCCAACTTCAGGATGTCTTTTAACGTGTGAGGGAGAAACTATACCAACATAAAGTATATATACTCAAGGCCAATAAAACATCAGAGCACGGCTACCAGTATATGTGCACTGCTACAATGAGCACAAAGCTCCATAATCGTGCTATCGGTGCCAAAAAACAAAGGCCCAGGGAGACCAAGAAGGCGTACCTTGTCACATATTAAACATAATTACCTTCAATTTTATGAAGCTTTGTATAGGTTCTTTGTTCAATTGGTTATATATCTGGAACCCTTCTTGCTCAGTCATTTCATATTCTAATAGTTTTGCCGTGTCTTTGCAAAATTTTCTCTTAACTTATTGATGAACAAGAATTTATACAGAATATGGAGATTACTTTAACAGAGTTTCAAAGCCATTGCTACTAAGATGGCATTAAAAATTGAAACTGAAGCCAACAGATTGGTAAATTTCCAGAAAGATTAAAAGATTCACACCAAAAGCTATCTTGAAGTTAAGCTGGAAGCTCCTCATAGATTTTCAGAACATTTTTCAAAATAAGTCTTTTTATATAACCTAACGTGACTTGTAGCGCAACACTGCCGGTGGCATCCTAGTTTCCATCCACAGCTGCCTTGCTTAAGGTGCCACCAGCAATGAATGGTTAGATGGAAACATTTGCCATCTGCCACAAAGTTTAAATAGGAGGCAGTATTGACTGTCTTATAATGTGCTAAAACTTATAATGTCCTTATAGGGGCGTGAAATTAACTTATAATGTGCTAAAAATGATCCAAAAAATGCAATAATTTTTTCGAGCAAAAATTTCATCTTCACGCTGAAGCAATTGCCATCTAACCATCTAAGATGTCAGTGCATTTTTGAAAGTATATTTTGAAGTTAAACCTGAATTCAATGTCAATAATGCTGAACATTAAGGAAAACAAGGCTTGATTGATGCTCGTAGGTCCCATTTTGGCCACATAATCGAACTTACGAGCAAGATCCCAAAACAGAAAAAGACTGGACTTTCTTCTTGATTGACAATAGAAAAATACGCTAAGGCTAATTCATTCAAGATGCAATAGATTGCAGATGGTATTCTAGATAGGTAGGTTGATAAAGCTTTTAGAGGCACCGACTTTTTGAAGAGACGGGGGAAGGTTTGATGATGTTATCGAGATCACATTATTTGAGATGCCATGGATATCATACGAATCTTTATCTAGCCGACGCATAAACAGTAAGATCTTACAAAGGCCTTCGCAATATAGAGCCTGCACGCATCTGTTGACAACCTTTTGATAATTGCAAAAGGTATCATGTCCTTTACTCTTATGAGTCGAGAAACAGGCGCTCATTTGCTTCATTTACACAAAACGAATTCGTTCTCTGTTTGCCAGACTTCTTTGCAAAGGGAGAGAAAATGTTTCCAGTTCTTTCCACCAGCCCGTCATTCCACCATTGAAAGT